GCCTCGCTGGTTGACTCTCGCCCCCTCCCGACAGCGAGGGTCTGCCTTTGCCTCAGGAACCCCAAATCTATGCAAGGCGTGTTCGACATGGCTACCTCGAGGGCATCCTCCTCGTTTAGGGACTGTAGGATTTGGAAGTCAGACCATGAGTCTCTCCCCGAAGTCCCCACTTCGACGTGCAAAGAAACAAAAGCCTATCTGGCCCCGAACTCCTCAACTTCAACAACACCTTCTAGTTCCGCCTCTGTAGCCCGATCGGGGTTTTCCTCCATGTTCTCCTCGACCTCTTGTTGCGCAGCCTGATCGAGGAGTTCAGACCACCGCGAAGGCTCGAAAGGCTGAGGGAGCTGTGAGAATTTTTAATATTCGGGAGTGTAGTTCAAAAGAATGTGAGCAGCCCGGCCAAATTCGTCATCGCCAACGAATCTCCAAACAGTGACGAGGTCGGCAAAGTTCACCAAGGACCGAAGTGGAGGAGCTACTTCCCGAGCAGAGATGTCTGCACACAAAAAAGAGAGGAGAGGGAGTTATGAACACTTCTAAAAAAAAATCTCTCAAGAACAAAATAATAGACTCAAAGAAGACGATGTACTTGTCGTTCTCCATTCCAAAGGACATAACAGACCGTTGTACTTGGGATCGGCACCCCTTTGCCAGGATCCCTTAAAGATCAGTAGTAGGTCATCCTTGTACCCCTTGTCCGAGTCAGGAAGGTAGGTTACAAGGTACATGAATGGGTCCCTGGCTTTGAGGTAGAAATTTTGCTGAGGCATGAACCTCAAGAGGGAGTAGCAAAAGAGGATATCGTTCAGCCCAACATTTACCCCGAGACATTTGTTGAGCTCTAATACTCCCATTATTAACCTGAAGACATTAAAACAACACTGCTCGGGGAAGAGGTGGAAATGGGAGAGGAACTAGAGAAGTAGAGGGGGTAGAGGGAACCTAATTATGCCCTCTATGATGGCTTTGGTATAAAATGACATCTCATCCTCAGCCCCGAGAGTACGGGAATGCAAAGCGGGGTTATAATCCTCTATGTCTACATATGGGGGGATGTGATATTGGACCCTAAACCTATTAATCTGCTCGTCTCCCTTCACTTTGTACTTCCCTGGCCTGAGGATTCTCAGGGGCAGGGCGACGTTGGGGCATCTCCAAAAATGATGAAAAGTAAAGAAGAATGAAGGGGTTTTCCCACAAAGATCCCCAAGGAGGTTTCCCGAGGGTTGGTCACAGAATGACAACCAGAAACACCTCCGATTATCAAAAAATCAAAAGAACATAAAAACAACGAGAAAAAGAAGAGAAGAAGAGACAGAAGGGCGAAGAGAGGGAAGATACAAGGACTCACCAGAACGTAAACAAAAGTTTTTCTTAAAAACTTGAAATGATTCCTCCCTCCAGGATGTTCAGAAGCAAGGATGGGTATGCTGGCCTTAAGACTCCGGTGAAAGATTGGGCAGTAGACAACGAAAGGAAATGGGTCTCTGGCGAGATTTCAGGCAAGGGCTCTCTGAAAAAGTTCGAAATGGCAACATGAGAGAGGGAGAGAGGAAGCCCATTTATATATAGTATACATCCCCATCATTGGGCACGAAGCACGAAAAAATGCATTTAATGCGTACGACCTCCTAAGCAGGGGAAAGCGGCTAGAGACAATGAATAAGTGGTTGGGGTAGTTGCAGAACCCTTCGTTTCCTTACAACGCGTGTCCTTGGTGTCAGAAGATCGAAGGCTGGGGGGCAATTGATGGGACATTTCCAGACACTCCAAGATAAGCAACACGTGTACTCGGCGTCAAGGAAAATACTCTCTGCTGTGGTCACGACACGTGCTCGTCGGGCCATGATCTCTTTCCCCCGAGGAGGGTACTAGGCATAAGGACCTACGACGCCGGTATGCACGGGGGGTTCGACACATATTCCTCGGTCGAATATGGGTACGTCAGTCCTAACCATACTAGACCCTCGACACCGAGGTGTATCCACTACATCGGCATTCTGTTCCTACAAGGTTGTTGATAGATAGGACATCAGCCTGGGTTAGTCTAGATTAGCCATCATGACCTGATCCTACCTGGATGGTGTCAGAACGCACAGGAAAGCAGAGGACTCAACCAAAAGGGAGCCGGCGCGAGGCATATTGTGTCAGTTTAGGGACAAAAAGACCAAAATGCCCTTGCTGACACACGACTTGGGAAAGCAAGTATTTAATGCACATTTCTCTTGATGAGACAACATTTAACGCGTAATGACGAGGAAGTGAAAGACAATAAATGCTCCTGTGACTGAGCATTTAATACATCCCTACCGAGTGAAGGTCATTAAACGTTCGACAGACCGAGGGTGATGCAATGGTTGCTCGGGATCCCGAGCAGTTAAGAAAGAGGTCATTTCTCCTGAAGACCAATATGCACATTACCCACCTTTAATGATCACCTACTGACCACACTGATAGTAATCATGAGTTTTGAAGGTATAAATATTCCTTACAAAAGACAAGACGGTACAAAAAAAACATTTTCTCAAACCTATACACAGTATTTTCTTCTTCCCCTCTCTCAAAGAACTAACTTGATCGTCGAAGGGGATACGTCGAAAAACACTTCGGCGCCCTCCTAACTCATTTTTTTCTGTTTCAAGAACCTCCCTCAGCCTTACTGGACCGCTCCTATGACCCACAAAAGTCACCCATTACCGTTCCAGGCTACCACCGGATCTCACCCTGTTCCAAATAACAAGGCTGACCATTCGATTGACCGACTCGTGTTCACCATGAGAGAGATCTGTTCTTGTGTGTATATTGTGCAAGATCCTGCACGCACAGTAGAGTAGGAATACGAAAATGAATGGCTATTCCGCATTCCTACTTGAAAATTGTCGAAAGACCAAAAGCTCTTTCATATTTTTACCCGATTTTTATTGCTACCTGTTCAGTAGAATATGATCGGATAAGGTAAAAACTTGCAATTAGTCAAAAATTTGAATACTCCCATGCCTGCCTTTCTGCATCTGTCATGAAAACAATATTAAATTTATAGAAATATATATTTTAAACTAAGTTGCTTGTAACAATGTGCAATGTCTCTGTCGTGTCGTGGGAGATGCGCAGAAAGTCAGATGCCCCCGTGGCTGCCTTGCTGTATCTGTAATGAAAATAATATTAAATTTATAGAAAAATAAATTTTAAAATAAGTTACTTTAAATAATGTGCAATGGCCCCGTCGTGGTGTGTCGTGGGAAGATTCATAGAAAGTCACATGCCCCGATGGCTGTCTTGCTTGCTGTATCGTCAGGAAAACAACAACATACCCTGAAGTTTATATACACGTAATATTTAGATTTTTATTATAAATATATTCGTTAATAAATTATATTTAAATTTTTTTTAAATTTTTAGGTATATAATATTTAGACCCTTTAAATTTAAAATATTATTCTTAGATAAAAAATATTTCAATCAAAGATAGAACAACTAAAATTCATATTCTATTATATCATTTATTGAAATAAAATCAAAAATATAAATCTAGTTTTAAAAGAAATTATAGTTAGTATATAATTATATTATCTATTAGAATAAAACTAAAAAAATTAAACAAGTGGTCAAATTATAATAGACACAATATCTTTTAATTTGGTTGACATTTTAATTTGGTTGTTTAAAAGACCAAATTAAATTCCAATAAACAATATAATTGGATACTAATTACGATTTTTTAAGAAAAAATTAAATTTTTATTTTTAATTTTATTTCAATAAAAGATACAATAGAATATGAATTTTAATTGTAAAATTTAAAATATTTGATTGATATATTTTTAGTTTAAGTATAATATTTTAAACTTAAGGAAACTAAGTAATATATGTTTACAACCTTTAAGGGGATTGAGTATAATTCATTAATAGATATATTTACAGCAAGGATATAAGTGTTACGCCCATATAAATTTTAGGGGGTTTATATATAATATTTCAAATATCTGAGAATCTGAATAATTAAGTGACAAATTTCAAAAAATTTGGGTGTAATTTTCCCTAAAAAGAAAGTAAATTGCTTGCACAAAAAGGTTGAACTGTCGTCAATAATTAGTAAGGTGTAATCCGTGGGCCCATGGAAGTATTACCTAGTTATCCAAACAACGGCCTGCACAGGACTATCCACAAATCCTTGCCAATGCAGCCGACTGGATTTGCTTGGGTTGGTTGCCAAGGGTTAAAAAAAGATTAAAATGCCCTTGAATTGTTATGTTACGCCTACCTACCATTCCATGTTAATATTGACTAACATGTTTGAAAAATTATTTTTAATTTCAAAACAAAGAATTTCAGATGCATTTGAATTTGTTTTAAATTTCATTTGATTTTAAATACGTTATTTTACGGTCAAGAGTTGTGACATAATTTTGGCATTTTAATCGAATTGAATTGTATTATTTGCACAGAGATCAAGACATATATTCTTTAAAAGTACATCAAGTGGGTCGATGTCATTAAAAATTAGAAAAATAAAAGCCTTTAAAAAATGATTTTCTTTTGATAAAAGGTATTTTAAGACAAGTTGGAGCCTCAGTTGTCCAATATCAATATCAATATCATGGCAACTAGGAAATTGCCGCCAGTATTATAATTAACAATCTACTAAACAAGTAATTTCCTTTTCAATCTACTAAATAATTATTAACAATCTACTAAATAATTAATGCTGCTTAGTTGCAGTGGGAAACTCCATTAACATAGGGACCTCCTTTATCCACCAAAGCATATGATATCTGCATCACCATCTGAAACATCATACCCAATATGCATTGAATGCAGATCACTGGAGTAGCACCATTCACCATTCAACACTCAACTCAACCGATGAATCAATAAACTGAGCAATGCTAAACAATCACAAGTATTCCAATTTTTCTGTGGAAAAATCCTGTGGTGTAGAGGGAAACAAACTTCAAACCAATCCACTATAATCGGCAACTTGCAATGTTTTTTTATTCTCAAGATCATAACCAAACCTTGAGATTCATGCAATTTCAGTGCACTTTAAGCTAAGTTATCAAGATAGATTACACTAACAACCACCATAGAATTAGAACACAAACATCACCACATTATAAGAGAAATAACAACGACATAGGAATGGTCCTGCTACAATTCTTATTTCATCCACATATAAGCAAGTCTGCCCAAGAAGTCTTCTTCACTGCAACATGTTCCCCACGAAAATCTCACACGTTGAATAGAAGAAAATAAACTCACTTCTGACCATTCCAAGACGAGCAGAGACAACCAGGAACATACTGATTTATACCCAGAAACCTGGGAAGCAATACAAATGTAGGGAAACTCATATAAACATCGTGATAAACACACTCGTGAAAATTAGTACGTAGTTATTCATTCGTTTTGGACTTGGGTCCACTCTTGTACACTTGTCCTCAATTTTGTTAATAGTAGTAGATCACCCGCCGTGCAATGATAGCAGACTCACTTATATATAGTCATATACAGTGGGTCTCACTTGAAATCATAGTGGTTGCTTTACCAAGATGCACATGAGGGAATCTGAATCCCATTCGCTTCACTATCAAAACTAAAATATGAAACATGTTGATTTGCATGTCCTTGAAATTGAAGAATCGGAAATTCAAAAAATGAGGCTCAAAGTAGAGAACATTTTGAGCATAATGTAGTGGGATGAAATCATGTAGTAGGCTTGCACAAAAAACCAAACAACAGAAATAATGGAATAAAAATGATAATTAATTTTCAATTAAGTGGTGGTGTGTAAACAAGCTGTCTTACCTTCTTGCACTGGATTCAGGACAAGCTTTCGTAGTAAAGCACTCCAGATATTGATCGATAGTAATGCACGATATTAGGGATATGTTGAACTTTTGGGCGATCTATACTCTGTTCTCCACGAATCCGTTGAATAAGCTCACTTGAAACGATTATCAATGTGACTTCTTGGAGATTAGCAAGACATTCAATGCCATGAGGCAACATCTTCAACTCTATACAGTTTTCTAGGTGAAGCTGTCGGAGATCTGGCATCACTCCCCTCTCAATTATTATCTCATTCAGTTGAGGGAGATTGAACAAGAATAGGCTCTTCAGTTTTTGGAACCCAACTTCAAAGCGTAGTTGTTTTCCAGAATATGCGTTCTCAAGTGCAAGTTTTCCCAAACAAGGCAGCGCTTGGATGAAAGGAAGCAGATCTTGTGTCAGTCTAGACCAATGCAAATACAATTGCGTGAGGCTTCGAAGGGATTGAAACCAGCGTGGCACCGTCTCTAATTTCCCTGCTAATAGCATGGATTTAAGGCAAGGAGGAGCAGAAGGGAGCGCATCTAATCGCAAGGATTCCGCCTCATCACTAACCATCAAAAATAAGTAACGAAGGAGATTCATATTTTGGATTGCGATGCACAAGTCTTCTGCATCTGCTTCTCTTAACTTGGAAATGCCAATCCTTGTAAGTTGTGTCATGCTTCTAATGCGTCTCATTAAGTTCACCTCTGCTTCAACACAATCCAGGACTTGCAAGTTCTCTAACTTGTAAATGTTTGACGGGGCTGATATGCCATAACCAATTGTAAATTCAGTATAAGAACCAGGAATGTAACAGTACATTAACAGATGACGCAAGTTCTGCAACTTTGTAGTCCCAGTTGGAAGCACATATATTCTTGAATTGCGAATGTCTAGTGTTTGTAGGTTGTGGAGCCTTCCAATTGATTTTGGAAGCTCCTTCACCCTCGTCCTCCTTAGGTTCAAGTACCTTAAATTGAACAGATCCACTAGTTCATCTGGCAATTTCTCAACCTGTGCATCTTGTAGATCCAACACCCTTAACAATCTAAATCCAGATGGCAATGTTACCAAAGATGGAGAAATCCTATAGTCAATGAACACAAGAAGTGAACGGAGCTTTAACATGCCCTTCAATGATATTATTTGCATTTTTATTGTTTGGATTGACAAGCGACGTGCTCCACTCTCTTCACTTGCTTCTTGATCATCATACAAAGCACCAAATTTCTCGGCCTCCGATATTGAAAGAGCAATTTCCCGTAAAAGATCATCCATCTTACATCCTTTTGGCCTTCCAGATATGTTCCTTTTAACAACTTGAAGCATGTTTCGGTGAATGAGTGCCATAAGATAGCTCTCAGCTACGTCTTCTGGTGTTATTCCCTTCATTTTTTCAACAAACCCTTCTGCCATCCAAAGTCTAATAAGCCTCTTTCTTTTTAACACAAAATCTTCCGGAAATAGACAACAATATAAGAAACAATGCTTCAATTTGTATGGCAATTCATTGAAGCTAAGCAACAAGATAACCTGCATCCTTTGCAACATGGAGTTGCTCCTCAACTCGATATCCAAGCAATGATTAACCTTTTCCCACTCTGATTCCAGTTTCTTTGATGACATGGCACTGCCCAAAGCCACAAGAGCAAGAGGTAATCCTTCACATTTGTTGACGAGGTTCCTAGCCAAGATTTCAAGCTCTTGAGGTAAAAGTCTACCCTGATTGTTGGAGAATGCTTTCATGGTAAAGAGCTCCCAGGCCTCTTTCTCTCCCAGTGGTTTCACATGGTGAACACGACTTTTGACTCCAAAAGACGATGAAGCTATATTTTCATTTCGTGTTGTAAGAATTACTCGATTTCCAAATCCTTCATCTGGGAGAGATACATTGATTTCCTCCCAGAGCTTACTGCTCCACACATCATCCAAGATAATTAAGTATCTTTTCGCCCCTAAATAGCTCAGCAATGTACTGACCAACTCTCTGAACCCCATCGTGTTTAAATTTGTAGGAACTGTTTCCTTGGCAGCGCCGTAGAATTCCTCAATCATTCTTCTCAGTAAATCATCAACAACATATTTTTGGGAGACTGTGATCCACGCATGACAGTTAAAATGGCGTTTTACTATCCGACTGTTGTAGGCCTTGGAGACTAGAGTGGTCTTGCCCGAACCACCCATTCCCACCACTGAAATAACAGTGCATTTTTGTAGAAAAGATCTCATGCTTATAAACTCCTGCTTGATTTCGTCAAGCTCATCACTAAGCCCTCCAATCAATGATGCTTCATTCTCAATGGCCGACACTATCTTGCCTATCAACAAGTCTACAGCAGAGGCCTTGATTGTTTCCATCTTCCAGCTTTCCTTCCTAGCACCTTTTCACCTTGTTGATGGTTGTTTCTGCTTATTATTTTTGCTTAACTGCAAATTAAGGAAAACCGAAAATGTCTATTTGACTTGGATACAAGAAGAAAGCTAATATTTTCAGCATACATACATACATACATGCATTGATTTTATTCAAGTGGAAAAGAATTGAAGGCGTCGACTTGGAGTCTCAATTGTCCAATGCACATATCAAGACAGCTGGGAGAGCAACGAATTCTTTGATCACGAGCCCCCCCCCATTGTCCCTCATCTCACCTTGAAAAACAGATTTTCGGACATTTCATTTGAATTTCACTTATATTTCAAATGACAATAATAGTACAAAAATCATGAAATACATGTATTGTCAGCACATTGAATAAGATAAAAAAGGACACCAAGTGGATGGATGCATTTGGAAAAATAATTGAAGGCATTGATTTGGAGTCTCAATTGTCCATTTCCATATCATGACATTGGAGAGCAATAGAGTCTTTGATAAAGAGGCCCCCTATTGTCCTTCAATATTAAGACAAGTGTTCAATTGCTCATCAATAAACTCAGTTTTACCAATTAAATTTAATACGAATTAAATATTTTACGAATTCGAAAAATGTTACAATCACTTAATCCAAATGATAAATGATTTAAATTAGTATTAGAAGAAAATGTATGAACTGTTTTGAACTAAATACTGTCAATTGATTTCTAAGTCATTTTGTGTATGAATTTTTAAGTGAAAAATATAAAATATGATAAAAAAATTTTAATTGGTGTATATATATATATGTCTTTTAGTTGGAAACGTAACAAACTCGTTAATCAATCAATCAATCTGGTTATGCTAATCTTCTCTAGAAAAAATGGGTTATGGGTGAAAAGCCACTATATATAATATTGGTGAGGGTCGAATTTTGATCAAAAACCTCGTGAGAACAGTCTATTAAGGACATGATCATATTTGGCATATGAGACTTTTGTTTATCGAGAAGTTTCAAAAAGATAAGTGATTAACATTTTGATCCACAATTTCCGCAATACTAATATCTAGATTCAAAACGGTGAAGTATCTAGACTTATAAACACTTCAATCTAAAAAATCAAGTATGTGAGAAATGGCCAAGTTTTGATACTCATTATCAACAATAAAGTTCCCAAACAACTGAGATTCCAAAGTTAAAAATTTCACTTCAAGTTGAATTTGTTGTACATTTGGATTCAACACGGTTTAACCGACACTCCAACACCACTTGTCTTGTGCAACAAAGTAGAAAAAAATCCTCAGTTCACCCCTGGATGATTTTTTGTGTAGACTCTAAATATTATTATCGATTCTCTTATTTAATGGGTGGGTGACACATAATTTATGTTGAATAGTCCATCTAATAAGTAAGTCGTAAATGAGTGTGATAATTAGACTCATTTATATAAGTAAATAGGGTATAGATTGAAGAGTTTTTGACATAAACCTGTCACATCTGACACGATTGTCACACGTAATAATGAGCATCCCATGTCAATCTATCAATTTTACACATCAATAAATATAATACGGTGTGAATACGATACAACTGAAAAATGATACGATTGTTTAAAATGAATGATCAATGACTTGGGTTAACATTAGACTGAAATAAGTCATTTGTCTATACTGTCAGAAAAAATATTCATACTTTTCTATTTCTGGATTTGGTATTATACGAATTGTTTTAATATTAAATAATTTTTTTATCAACACAAATATGACCCAAATATGAAATGTCACGACCCAAATATGAAATGTCACCACCCAAATAACATGGTACGAATACGTCATAGTTCGATCGACACCCTTAAATATTTTTTTATTCATAACAAACTAAACAAAAAAGAAAGATCAGAATTAAACTCGATGAGCAATGTTTTGTGAACTTGAAATTGTGACTTTATTTGTTAATTAAAGCAATCAGTATCATTGATTTAACTACGAGACTAAGCATTTATCAAGATTTATTAACTATTTAATAATTGTGATCAATAAACTCAACATTTTAAGTTTAAAAAACATTTTCTTAACTCAATTTATGTGTTGAAAATGATGCCATTTTACACAAAAGGCACAAGGATATTAAATAATAATCAAATTTTCTTTAGAAACTCTTTTTTGAATAAAATGTACAAAATATAAATCAATCTCAAACACAGAATTATCTTTTTTAAACTAAAAGAAAGAAATCTTAGGAGGATAATCGTTAAGTTCCAAAAAAAAAAAATCATTCCAGATTCCAAATTTTAAAATTCCACACGTATTTGAATTTCATTTGATTTTACACTTGCATTTGATTTCGAAACCTGTCATTTCACCGTAAAAAGCAGATTGTCACATGCACCCGTCATTTCACTTTGAATCTCATAACATTTCACATTGAATAAAATTCTAGTACATAAAGTGGATTTGGAAAAGTTGTTGGGTTCCACGTGTCGTCGCCAATAAAAGCCTTTGGAAAACGGAAATGATAGAAATTTAAAATTTATATATGACTGAAAAAATTAATAAGACTCATTAATTTAAAAAATAATATAAATTTAAATTATAATTTTTTAAATTTTATTTAAATTTTATAGTATAACTCTTTTCAAGTTGTTGGGTTCAATGTGTTGTCGGCACATAGAACAAGATATAGAAAAAGCATCTTTGAAAAAGGGCATCAAGTTGTTGGGTTCCATGTGTTGTCGGCGCGTGGAACAAGAGATAAAAAATGCACAGAAAGTGGATAACAATTATTATTTTACTTACAAAAAAATAAAATTATTATTCTGAAGCATTTCGAATTATTAGTTTTATTTATCGTTTTTTATCAATTTTTTAATATATAAGGTATTATTTAAGTAACATTTATTATGTATTTTTGCCTTTTTTTTCTTAACCAATTAATTCTCTTTCTCCAAGCTTGATCACATATACAAAAATCAAATGTGCATATATAAATAAAATATTAGAGATATGACAGGATCCGAATAATTCCATCAATCCACTAATATCAGTAGAGATACGATAGGGTTCAAAGAGATTATTAATTTCTAAGTTATTTGGATAAATATAAATGATGATAGACTTCAACGTTATTTATCTTTTATCATGTGCAATTCTCAACCAATAAATAGGAGTGAATCCCATGTAATCAATTTTTTGTACTAAACCTAATTGCATACAATTAACTGGGACATATGCAAACTAATTAAGTTTTCGAAAGTATAACATGTTCAATCAATCACAAACACTAAAACCCTAATTTAAGGCATACACCTTGGTTCATGGGTTTAGAACTCCTTCCTCAAATCATCTAAAAGAAGACTACTTACTCATAATCATAAAAATAACATAAAGCATAAAAGTAGGCATGATTGAAATTAGAAAAATAAATGACAATTGAAATTGAGACTGGATCTTTCTATTAATCCACTCTCACAAAACCAAGAAAAACAAGAGATGGTGTTTCCTATAGAGAGAGAGAGAGGGAGAGAGAGGGACGAAATTTCTAACAATTTTCATATTCCTTTTACTCAATGCTTGGCTATTTATAGGCCTAGAGATCAAACTTCTTTGGAACTCTATTCCAATCCCAACTATCGAATATGGTCAATTGTGGAATTTTGAGGAATAAAGGCATAATTGGTAAGGCAAACCTTATGAAGCAATGTTAAGAGTTTCTCAAGAAAGGTATAGTAACACAAAAAAGTGCCTGAAACTTGGAGGGCTTGGACAAGAATAATTCAAAGTAAACATCCCTCAAGTATGGACCCAAATAATTAGCCCATAGGTATGGACCCAATGAGCCCATAAATTATGTTTTAAATTGGGGGTTTTTGGAAGCTGATACACTTAATTAGACTTATTTGACAAAAAGTACACATTAACAAATATTTTGAAAAAAAGTACACTATTTAGATACAAAAACATAAATGTTCATTTTAAGAAAAATGGTGCATTAAATATCTCTTAATTTTATGAGAGAACTTTAATATTTAATGCATATTGATTCTATATATATATATATATACTTGTATTTAAATACTTATTAAGTATATATATATATATATATATATATACGTGTAAAGTGTAACATTGAAAGTGTAAACTATTACCTTATGTCTCACCTTACTTAATGGAAAGTATAAAATGTTATATATTAACATTGAAAGTGTAACACTTTCACACTTTTTCAATTAATTAGTATTTTTAGTGTAAGATGAGACATGTATATTCTGTTTGTATAACACTTTAGGTAATGTCTCACTTTACCTTCTGTAAATAGTTTGTTACATTATTATTACTACACTGTTATTATTACTTTCAATATTATCCTATAACACTTTACACTTTTCATTAAAAAAATGTGAGATATATGATAATATTTTACACTCTACACTTTCAATGTTACACTCTACACTTTCAAAAATGTTACACTTTATACTTTCAATGTCACACTTTACACGTATTTGTAAATATATATATTAACAAATACTCATGAATTAAAATACATTAAATATTAAAGTTCTATCATAAAATTAGGAGATATTTAATGCACCACTTTCCAAAGAACATACACATGAATCAATGGAAGACAAAAATATCACAAAAAAGTTAAACAAATTCAAATTATATATTTAGATACAAATAAGTATCAAAATTAAAGACTAAATAAACTTACATTTTTTAGTGTATTTTTTTTCCCAAATAAGTCTAATTTGGTGTACCCCTTTACAATATACCCTTTAAATAGTATTGAGAGATGTCTAGTATTGCATTTCAATCCTTCTAAGTTTTTTGTGTCACAAACATCTCTCTTTTAATCTCAAGGATAGTTCAAGTGACAACAAGAACGACAACACTCGCTTGTGTTTGAATTTGTTTTGTATACCATAAATGAAGGGATGAAGAAGGCTATTGAGATTTTGTGATTAAAGTGGGATTGCTCTTGTACAATATTCATGCACGTATGCAT